ATTTCACTCTCATAACGCCTGTAAGAACCTCCTAACTCTGACATTCTCCATCGGAGATAGAGAGAACTTTACAGAGAGTCCAATCAAGGAGATCGGAATTAATTCCCTTCAAATCACTATGGTAGAATCTAAGTCCGCATATTTTCCCCCTTTGATCCATCGATATTCCATGGTGTCTTAGAACTCAGGCATGGAGAGAGTCTCTTTACATTGTGGGTTGTCTCCTGGCTCTGATCCTCATACATCTTATCAGGAGGTTCTTCGCGATGGGTATGTTCATAATACGACGTTGGCTTCTTGTATGGTGTACCTCAGTCTTCTAATGTCATTACAAACTTACCAGATGTACACCTTGTTCCAGCTTCCAATCTATTTCCACCATGTAAAATATGAAGATCATGAACAGTGAATCTCACAATTTCTATTAACAATATAAATGTTAACAGGACAAATCATGGGCCCCTGGAAATACAGAGGTGGATCATATTATGTTATATCATATTATATTATAAAAATGGCGACAAAAAATTGTCTCACGAATATTTCGAACATTTCCAAAATATGGCTGAAATATTGCCGACTCGGCGTTAAACAATAATAATCAATCAACCAATCGAATATTTCCAACTTTCGTCTAATTGTTCAATAACGTCGAGGAAATTTGGGATGGGTAAAATTTTGTAATATTTAATTGTTATTGGTGACCTTCTCATTCGCGATAAATTTTGTCTGAGATTCAGATGTAAGCACGGGATGGGGAAATCAAAAATTTGTCAAAAAATCATCATGAAAAATTTTCGATGAGGTCTGTGTTTGAGGGGACAATTAATAGGTGTTTATTCAGAAAAAAAACACTATAAGCAGGTGACCATAGAACACTAGTATTACTACAAAATCAGAAGATGACGACGGAAAAGCTAAAGTTATCACATTTGTCATATAGTTTAGTGGTTAGTTTGCCATTACGGGGGGGGGGGGGGGTGTCGAGTCGACATGAATAATTGAAATGAACATCGCATTAATATGTTACTCGTCGTTGAAATATCTAAATGCTGAAATGATTTTCTTCTTCTTAGAATGAAAAGGAAATTTAAAAAAAATGAATAAAATGAACGGGTTTGATTGAATATAGTATAGTATTGTTAATATCCACGAACAAATCTCGAGTTCCTTTCATAATTCAGGATGAATAAATGATATTCTATAACAGTCATGCTCTGATAAAAAGAAATACTATAATTAACTGTATATTACCCTTAAAGTATCAGTTTTTACTGACTATGAATTTCAAATCGTTAAATTTCATTTTCCTATATATTTTGTCATATAACCGGTAATAGGTAATATAATCTGTATATATTCAGATGTTATTACTATGATTTTAAACGTAATTTTATGGTTGATCTAACACCCCCTTCTCCCCACCCCCATCCCCCCACCCCCAAATGTTTAATAAAGATTCATAGTAAAACAATGTATTTAAAAAATTGCTATATTTTAAGACAACAGTTAATTTCTGTTAGGGTACCCATAATGTAAAAAGTATATCCTATCAAGTTTTACTCATTTATTCTCATTTTCATTTAATTTTATCTTAATAAAGGCACCCACAAAGGGTTTTGTTCAGTGTAATAAACTTTTATTTTCCCCTGTACGTCCATTGTTAAATTTATGTACGACCATTTCACACTCACTTATTAATAACACGTCTTAGTTTAGGAGGATCCTAAATCAGCTTTGATTTACATGCCTAAATTTGTCTTAGGATCATCCTAAAATTTTTCTAAGATTATTCTTAGGATTTTCTTCAGATAATTTTAGGAAAGTTTTTTAAACATGCTTGCAGGTGCCTAGGAAGAGTAAGCATTCCCGTCGATCGGTCACACCCTCCGTGAGCCCTATGTATTCATCAGATAAACGGAATAATCCGTCGTCAAATATAGTCTTAAAAATAGCCTTACAGTCGGTATGAAATTTGCAAGTAAAATAACGACCCAATGTTAGGTTGTTTTTGCAAACAAGGTCATAGTAACGACTAATAAAAACCTCCATTTAATTTGTCAGAAGCCAGCCAAGGCTAAAAAGTTTATAGAATGAAATATATGGAGATAACGAACAGTATTCAAGCTCAAAAGTCCATTAAACAATACAGAATAGGAGCAGAGCAAACACGGACCTCCAAAACATCAGGTGGGATCAGGTGCCATGGAGGAGTAAGCATCCCTGCCGACCGGTCATACCAGTCCTGTGCTCCTTGTCATGATCGGGAATTAACGGAAAATCCGTCGACAATTCAGTATATAAATAATGACAAAACAATTAGTATGAAAAACAACTGTCTTCAAACAACTTTTTTGTCAATAATTTACCTCGTTTTAGAAATTGTACATACATAGAGCATGCTCTTGCGTATCGAATCAACTGAGAGATATAAACCCTGTATGCAGGTGATGAAGGTATATTGCTGCATAAGTAAGGAAAGTTGACGATTGAAAAGTTAAAGTCATCACGTTTATCATAAAGCTTTGTTGTTAGATTACCATTAACGTCTTTTTCAAGTAAAATATCCAAATATGAAGCAGATGTGTCAGACTCTGCAGTATCTTTTATCTCAAGCTCACCGTATCGACATAAGAATGGAAATAACCATTGTTAATTGACAATACATTGTCGATATATCTAAACGTCGAGTTGAAGGCAACAGCAAGTGTTTTCCTCTTTTCACGTATAAGATTTTGGACAATTCTGCTTCATATGAATGCAAAAAAAGTCTGCTAATAACGGGGCGCAATTGGTACCCATGGGAATTCCAATAGATTGTTGGAAGACCTGGTCTCCAAAAACCATATGGATATTGTCAATCAGAAACTCAAGCATCTTTTTAATGTCAACTTCAGAGTACTTGTGTGTACAATCAGAATGTTTTTTAACAAAATAATTTTGCAAATGACTAATGACAAGGTAAGTACATTTACGAGTTCCATTTTTATTGAAAAAGCATCTGTCAATGATATAAAAAAGCCTGCACTTTAATTTATCGTGGGGAATGGTTGTGTATAAAGTTGAAAAGTCGTAAGTTTTTAAGCTGGTGATTTTGGTAAAATCTTTTGATTTAAAATTTTCCAAAAGTTCCTTGGAATTTTTAAGTATCCATATCTGATTTACACCACTTCTCGAATATATTGTTGTACAGTACTCTTGAAGTTTCTCCTTAACTATTGTTAATATCTTAGTGAGGAGTAAAGAGAGAGGCTGGGTTGAACATTCACTGGAACCCGCTATGTATCTTTTTTTGTAAGGATTTTAATGAAGTTTCGGAATCCAATATAGACATGGTGATTCAAATTCATTTTGGTTGTTTGGAATATTAAAAATATTCAAAACTGACATATGATTTTGAAGAATTTCTTCCTTAGAAAGGAGACTTTGAGTATAAGTTGGATTACCACTTGTAGAATTAAATCCAAGTTCCTCTAAAATACATTTAATATAATGAGCCTTCAAATGAAATATATAAAGATAACGAACAGTATTCATGCTCAAACGTCCATCAAACAATACAAAATAGGAGCAGAGCAAACACGGACCTCCAATCATCAGAGGTGGGATCAGGTGCCAAGGAGGAGTGAGCATCCCCTGCCGACAAGAAACAAAGACAATGTGTTACCTGCTTTATCAGCAGGGACCAGTACGCACTGATCATGTAATCTATCTAATTCTTTTTTCGATTCTGGATTATTGAATACAGAAGGATAGATGGTTCTCATATTGCCCCAAAATCTTTTAATGCGCGATTTTAACATACATCTGATACATTTAATCCATTCTGACAACGTGTCAAGGTCTTCTTTTTCATGTCTGGCCCATCGCCTGGCGTAATCCTCTACAAAATCCATAATATTTAGGAAATTCCGACGCCAGTTGAAGGATCGGGGTTCCCTATATTTAAGACCTTTTAAAATTAGTGATCTAAGGTCTTCATTATTAACTATATTTACGTCACCAGTAATGACGTGTCCAGCATGACTTCAGTTGAAGAGTGAAGAAGAACATGAACAGGAAGGAGGATTAGGTATCAGATACTTAATATCCAGGCTCTGCAAAGTTTTCCTGTAATTAAAAAGTTTGGAAGCAATAGTCGATGTATATTTATAGGAAATATATGGTATACTAGTAGTCTTCAATTTAAAATATGCTGGAATACAAGACTGAACCCTTTTGTGATTAAGAATATTACTTATATTAACCGCGTTATTTATATTAACGGCGGTCGCCCGCGTGGCGCAGTGATTAGAGCGTCTGCTCTAGAGTCGCGGAGTAAAGAGTTCATCCTTACTTCGCGGGTTCGAATCCCACTGTGGGACGTGGAGACCGGTCCTTCGGATGAGACCGTATAAACCGAAGTCCCGTGTTGCAGTAGGTGCTGGCATGAAAAAGATCCCTCACTGCTCAATGGCCGTAAGTGTCGAGTATAGGACAAAATTTGCAGCTCTCCACCGGCAAGTGGTGGCGTCTCCATATGAGTGAAAAATTCTCGAGAGGGACGTTAAACAACATACAAACAAACAAAAAAATATATTAACCGCGTCAATTCCTTTGTTGGCATATTGAAGTTTAAGGAACAACAGGTTGTTTTAGCTACATATTTTCTGTAAAACGGGGCGGTTTAAGAAGTCTATGATTTGCAATATCCATAACCACATATCATCTGAACTGTATTCTGGTGTTGAGGAATCAAAAAATGGACTTTCCTAAACTTTTCAAGTAGACTATTTAAAAGTTTCAAAGGGACAGAGTAAAGTTTGGTGCGGTTGTGATGAAGACCTAACTGTTGATATATATAAGGTAGTAATGAATCAAAAGAGACATCGTGTATTAAAGGTTTATTGTAAAACCGATGCCCATGACTACGCTTACGTCTCTATGTATGGTTAAAAAGTCCCATCACATTTACATTGTTACACTGTGGACTGGAAAGATTCCTAACTCTATCGACATTGTCATTGCATCCATAGGGAAAGGCCGTACCTTTCATCTGATCTGACTGACATCTGATGAGGTTTCCAACATGACCATGCTTCTCTGTTGCAAACCCATGATGATCCGAATTTCCACAAGGCATTGATCGTGAATGAAGATGCGTCTAGTTCTCGAATCTGTAGATCAGCAGGGTTGTCGTGTGTGGGAAAGTTTTTCCATGTGAATGCGCTACATAATTCGCAAATTTCAAATATTCTGTTTGACACGAACATTTTCAACAGTTTCTTGTTAGACAACCAGTGCAAGACGATTTGGCTGTCTGGCCAGTAGACAATATTCATTTCTCGTAATGAGTTTTGCAGGTGATTTCGCATTCTTGCAGCGATCAATGCTGCCGTCAGTTTTAACTGTGGAAGTGTGAGTGATTTACTAGTAAGTGGTGCCACTCTGTTTTTGGCCATGAATAATTTTAATTCTCTTCTATTACAGATGTATATGCAGCGGCTCCATAAGACTTGGTACTGGCGTCTGCAAAGATGTGTAGTGTTGTTTCATCGTCCATCTTGTTGAAATATTTCCTCGGAAATTGAACTGATGATGTGATGTTCTGATCATTTGCAAGATAATTCCAAGTCCTACAAATTTCATCTGATACTGGGTTGTCCCATTCATATCTTTGTTCCCAAAATGACTGTAACAATATCTTGGCTCTCATCGTGACTGAACTCAGAATACCAAGTGATTTGTGATGAGTATTGTAGTATCAATCTCTTTGTAACGGTCTCAAGTTTAAGTATTTCTCGTTTCGCAAATGACAATTTGTTGTACATTGGGTCCCAGCGTAATCCTAGTAATTTTATTACTTCGTCCGAGTCGTGCAATCCATGATAAATGGCTTCTGTGTGAAGTATCTGACTGTTCGATGCCCATGATCTCAGTTTCATTCCTGCATCCATCCATCATGATCTTCCTTGATTCCCGAAAGTACTCAATAGAATCAGTTTCGCTTGCAGAACTGGATATCCTCTGGTACCTTATCTATAAATTCTTTTCGTTCCTAGTTCTTGAATATCTCACTGTATTTCTTCAGAAGTCGCGGGTTGCTCTTAGTCTTTGTGCTTTGGGTTCTTTTCAGTGCAATACCATAATTCGATGGTAGCTAAGAATGGTCGTGTTTCCATGGCAATTAGAATTTGCCGTATCGAAATTCGATGCACTTATCTTGGTACATCTTGACTTTATCACTGGGCTCGTTCTTATCTGGCTTGTCCTTGATTCCAATGTTTTCTTGTTTCCAGAAGGTTCCAGTGCTTGTTCTACTGACGTATGCATAGCCATTACGTTGTATATTTTTACTGACATACGTTGTATATATTTACTGACACTGTCTGTACAAGATGACTGAGAAGTTGGTCCTGACAGCAGAAATCCAATCTTCACAGCAGATGGTCCTGATTCCCGGATGACTTGGTTTTCTCCAGTACTGATCTGCTCCGATTAAAATCGAAATTACAAATTCGCTATCAATTAAAACCGGCTGCGCTAATTTTAGTCCTTGAAGGTATGGAAGTCTTATCACTTCAGATGTGTGGAAGCTAGTTAGAGATTTTGCTATGGATGGTACTATCAGAACATTAATAGCGATCAATTCGCCTGAGTCGGTTATCAAATCGATGGTTGACTATCTAGATACTGGACACTTCCAGTTTTTCCAACGGTAGATAGTATAATTGCTTCAGATTTCATTTGTGTGTGATTTCTAACTCAAGTTTTTTTTTTCCTGTTATGAACGATCTTTGCGATCCTTCATCAAATAAGATATTAGCATCGGATGACTCACCGGAGCGATATAGCTTTTTTTCAGTAAAACACTTGTAGGTCGATGTTCAGTACTGTGGTTTCTGGCTTCCTATTCCTTTCTACGATGTTGACACTTGTTAATTTTGTGGGCATGTCTCTGTCACTCGTTAGTTTCACGTCGCATATACTTGTGTGGTGTTTCTTCTGACACTTTTTTACACCTGTTGCGGGATTTACAATCTGAGGCGCGGTGTTTTCCCAAGCAGTTGAAATACAATTTCTTCCGTCTCAAGATGTCAAATCTTCTACTTACGTCTGTAATGAAATATATGGAGATAATGAACAGTATTCAAGCTCAAAAGTCCATTAAACAATACAAAATAGGAGCAGAGCAAACACGGACCTCTAAACATCAGAGGTGGGATCAGGTGCCATGGAGGAGTGAGCATCCCCTGCAGACCGGTCACACCCGCCGTGTGCTCCTTGTCATGATCGGGAAATAACGGAAAAATCCGTCGACAATTCAGTGTGTAAATAATGGCCTAACAATTAGTATGAAAAACGTCAGTCAGCATTTACTCAATGATAAATTGTATTTGCTGACAATGTCATTGTATCGACCATAGAACTTACGAAATGATGACTTTAAACGAGAGAGCTGATATTCTTGTTTCATCAACTTGTTTGTCAATAATTTACCTCGTTTTAAAAATTGTACATACATAGAGCATGCTCTTGCGTATCAAATCAACTGAGATATATATATACCCCGTAGGCAGGTGATGAAGGTATATTGCTGCATAAGTAAGGGAAGTTGACGATTGAAAAGTTAAAGTCATCACGTTTATCATAAAGCTTGGTTGTTAGATTACCATTAACGTCTTTTTCAAGTAAAATATCCAAATATGAAACAGATGTGTCCGACTCTGTGGTATCTTTTATCTCAAGCTCAACAGGATATATCGTATCGACATAAGAATGGAAATAGCCAACTTTCTTACAATCCCCTGGAAAATGATTCTCTGTGCAGCAATAGATGCATGGGCGGCTCTTCACCTCTTTTGTTTCAACATGAGACGTCGACTCTCTTTTTTTCTGATTATGTGAACGTTGAGTTGTTTCTTTGCGGCACTGGAAAGAAATATTGCTGTTGTGTGAAATCCATCCCTGTTTTCAATCTGGCCTGTTTCGAGAACTTTAACTTCTTTGATGATAGCTTTACAGAGATTTTGTAGTGAAATGTTGTCACCATCGTACTCATGTGCATTTTTTTTCTAATTTCAGCTGGTAGCTTGTTGGTTATGACTGGAATAAGCAAAGCTTTAAATATCTCTTGTCTTTGCCCTAGGCATACCAAGCTTCTGACATGAGATTCTATGAAGTCCCCATAATTTCTTAAACTATAATGGCGTCATTTCTGGGAGCATGAGAGTTGCTAATTTTCTGAGACTGACCAAATCGTTCTTTGAGCAAGTTTATGGCCTTTTCGTAATTAGCATTTGTAAGCGCAAATCATTCTATGGTTTGTGCTGCTGTGTCGCGTAATTGAGCTTTGAGATAACTAAACTTTTGAATTGGCGTCAAAGTATGATTGCAATGAATCGTTAATTCGTAAGAATCCCAAAATGTATTCCATTCTAATACATCCTCGTAAAAATGCGGAAGATCTAACTTTGGCAATCTGTGATTATTCGTAGCGTGTTGGGGTGATAATGACAAAACATTTTGCTGGCTACTTTGTGTATTGAGATCAGAAGCAGGGAAATTGTTCAAAATATTCTCACTAACCATGTCACTTGACTTCATTGTAGGTGACGTGTTAACATTATTATCATAAATTTCTGTGGCAGGTATAAAACACTCAGCATTGACGTTCAAAGTTTTTCTGTAAATTTTTCAGTCTGCTTAATTTTACAATCTAATTCATGCATGTACTCATCTGTATTTGCGATTTCTGTTTCGATGTCCTCTTCAGATAGGGTCTCCAATATATGGTCGTTCAATTCTTGTAGGGTCTGCCTTTTCAGCGATAGACGCTGATTTCCTCGACGATTTCTTCTCTGACTGGATTTTCTTTTAGGCCCGAAAATCTTCCAAATAGTTTTGTACTACTGCTCTGTTGCCGACACATATAGCTTTGAGTCTTCCTTCCATCGTATGTAGAATTCCCTCGGCCATAGCACCAAAATGTTGTGGAATGTATAGAAAAGGTATAAAAACACGTCTTGATCGTAAAGTAAGTTATTTTGAGACTTGTTATTATCTATAGAAACGTAACAATCTAAAGCACTATGACGTCACAATTAAGTAAACGCTATATAAAAGCGCGGATAATCCACGACAGTAAAATTGTAGACCAATCACACGATATAACAATTTCCTAGTTCCATTTTTATTGAAGAAGCTGCTGTCTATGATGTCAAATTGAAACCTGACTTTCAGAAGTGCCATCATTTGAAAGGTCGCTGTGACTTTTAATAGGATTTCCAGATCTGTAATTCAAGCCATGTTTTAAAATGCCGTTGTAATGATGAGCCTTAGAAACAAAGACTATGTTGTCTACAAACTTTGTCAGCTGGATACATTACATATGGTTCTTATAGTATATCTTGTTATCATGTCCATTCTATTGATAATGGGAGGATAGATGGTATAGATACTAGTAAATTGCCTTTTTTAATTTTCAAATACGATACTTTTAATAAATCAGTACATTTTAAACTCTTTCTCTATCTTACCGACTTTAGAGGTTTATCCTTCATATTTAGCTCATTGTTTTGGCATGCTCCTCGGCGAACGCATCATTGAATGAACTTTTGTCGCCATTTGAACGATCAGAGCTCCCTGGATTTGGGATCTGTTTAAATGAATGCTTTCATAATGTCATTTTCAATAATATTTATAATGATGTGTCCAGCAGCACTATAGCTGGAAGAAGACGAAGAACAAGAACACCAAGGAGGATTTTATTTTGACTGGTTCAATATCTAGGCACTGTAGAGCTTATCTATAATTTGAAAAAAGGATGCAGCGGTTTGGGAATATCTGTAGGAAATACTCGGTGTAGAGTGTAGACTTCAACTTGAAATATTTTAGAATGCAACACTAGTCTTTTTATGATTAAAAGTGTAACTAAAGTATGTACACAATTTTGACGACAGATAATCAATACAGAAGGATCGACCTGTCGATAAGGGAAGCTTATTTATTCTAGATACCTGATCCCACCTCTGGTGTTTCCATTTCTTTTTTCGTGTTTGCGATTCGTATTGTGTTTGGGATTTATGAGATTAATTACAGTTCGTTATCGTTAAGCTTTTTATTGACGGTATCTATACCTTTAAACCTTTGGCTTAAGGAACCAAGGGAGTGATTCGGAAACACTACTATTATCATCCGTAGCAAGTAGCAAGTGTCTGTCCATAAGATCTGCCTGTTCGAACCTCTCATCCTTTTATCCCCTCGTGAGGCTATGGGGAAATTGATTTATTTTCTTGTCTCCTCCTAGCTCTTTCGGTGTTCCCTTTAAGTGACCAAGGGAACCTACTCCTTGGTAACCGCAACCAATCTGTTCCTGGATGCCGTCTGTTTTCCTAGTATCACCGCTCCTCCTTTATCGTCATCCTGTCTTTCCTGTGCAGTCACTCTTTACCCAGAAAAT